TCTATCTTTTTTTGTTTAATATATTTTATTGATTTTTTACAGAGAAGAAGGGAGAGGGAAGAGAGTTAGAAACATCGATGAGAGAGATCGATCAGTTGCCTCCTGCACTCCCCCCAGTGGGGACGTGCCCGCGCAACCAAGGTACATGCCCTTGACCGGAATCAAACCTGGGACCCCTGAGTCCGCAGGCCGACGCTCTATCCACTGAGCCAAACCGGTTCGGCAGAGTTTATTCTTTATTATTTATTAGTATTACAATTGTTAACCTACTTTCCCCAACCTGATATGGACAGATTGAGACATATGTGCTAAGGAAAGCCCCTAAGAGCAGAATCACTTACAAGAAGCTTCCCAGAGATCGTGGATTTAGAAATCCCCCTTCATAAAGGTGAGAAATATGGTGGATTATCTGGGGGACCTGGGTAATTTAGGGAGACATTTACTTTAAAGCACTGAAGCAGAAAAGGTTTTGTTTTTTCGGTTAACCCTCACCCGTGGATATTTTCTCCATTGATTTTAGAGAGAGTGGAAAGGAGTAGTGGGTAGACAGAGGGAGAGAAAAAATTGATGTGAGAGAGACACATCAGTTGGTTGCCTCCTGCATGTGCCCCCACCAGGGCTGGGGATCGAACCTGCAACCTAGGTATGTGCCCTTGACTGGGAATCGAACCCAAGACCCTTCAGTGCACGGGCCAACACTCTAAACATGGATCCACACTGGTTAGGGCAGAAAAAGTTATGTTTTAAGAGTAGAGAAGAGCTTGTCTGGTAGTAACAGGTTATGTTTTTAAAGTCATAAGAAATGAAGGGTAAAGTTTTTGGCTGGGGCCGAAACCGGTTTGGCTCGGTGGATAGAGCGTTGGCCTGCGGACTGAAAGGTCCCAGGTTCGATTCCGGTCAAGGGCATGTACCTGGGTTGCGGGCACATCCCCAGTGGGAGATGTGCAGGAGGCAGCTGATCGATGTTTCTCTCTCATCGATGTTTCTAACTCTCTATCTCTCTCCCTTCCTCTCTGTGAAAAATCAATAAAATATATTTAAAAAAAAAAGTTTTTGGCTGGGTATTTTCTAACTGTGGCTAAATTTACTATTTTATAAATTCAGAGTTTGTGGTTAATAGAACATGGTTTCATTAATGCTTTAGTGATCTAGGAAAACAAATTGATATAATAAGATTAAACAACTTATTTTACTCTTCAAGCATTTTAACAGTGCTAAGTACATAATAATTTTGCCATCTATATTAATACTCTGTTCACTAAAACTAGCATAGATACCACAACAATATTCTGCCATTGAATGATATAGATACTTACTCTAGAATGAAATTTTATTTTCATAAAATATTTAAGTCTGAAATAGATTTTTACAAAATATATATTTCTTTATTAATTTCAGAAAGGAAGGGAGAGGGAGAGAGAGATAGAAACATCAATGGTAAGAGAGAATCGTTGATTGGCTGCCTCCTGCATGCCCCACACTGGAGATAGAGCCCACAACCCGGGCATGTGCCCTTGGTTGGAATTGAACCCAGGACCCTTCAGTCCACAGGCCGACACTCTATCCACTGAGCCAAACCGGCTAGGGCTGAAATAGATTTTTATTCTGAGGGTTAGTTTTTTAACTTTTGTAACGATAGTTGTAGGGTTTCCCATTAGACCAAAGATAAACAAGGATTAAAAACAACAACAACAACTAGGAATAGGTAGAAAGTATTCAAGACTCAGCATATAGAGTAAACAGCAAGAATGAAGAGAGAGAGCAGTAGCTGGGCCTGTGTGACCTCTGCCCTAATCCCTTAACTCATTGTAGTTCTGTTCCGAAATACCAACGTGGAAGATGTCCTCAATGCCCGAAAACTGGAGCGCGACTCGCTTCGAGATGAGTCCCAAAGGAAGAAGGAACAGGACAAGCTGCAGAGGGAAAAGGACAAACTGGCCAAGCAGGAGCGCAAGGACAAGGAAAAGAAAAGGACACAAAAAGGGGAGCGAAAGCGATAACCTTGGTCAACGCTCTGCTTTCTCCTCGTGAACTGATCAAAGGGAGAGCTGGTTGTGCACATGAGTAATTTAAGAGAAATGAGAACATTGCAGAGTGGTTTCTCAAGGCATTTCCCCTTTTGTTTACATGGTCAAAAGGAAAATCACAAGCACTTCTAATTACAAAATGTGCCATGTTTCTGTGGTGGGTATTCAGATTGTTGTAGTTATCAGTACCAAAGATCTGGAGTGGGGGCAACCTTTCTATTTTAGTACCGAAGTGCTGTGCTCCTTTTGGCCACTTTCAAAAGTCTTCCCTCACCTTGGATAAACTAGCAGGAATATTCAGAAAGTTGACAGTTACAGTTTTTATCCTGAAGGAGCAGAATCATGACCACTCCTTCCCTGAGATGAAATGTGGGAGTGTAAATTGCTTCAGAAGTACTATTCACTCCTAAATGTATTGTTTTAAGACTCAAATAGAAAGCTAATGAAGAGTCAGACTTTATGTTGCATGGCAACAAACTAGGAAAATGAGAAGAAATTATTTGATGGATGTTCTAGATTTGAGAATTAAAAAAAAAGTACCCTATGGGAGGAAAGGAAGTATCTTTTTAAAGTAATAATAGTTGTAATTTTCCTCTAGGATGTGATTTTAAGAAGGGTGTGTCAGTATTGTGTGCAAGGATATCATTGTTAGCTAGATTCCTCTTGATTGCTAGTAGAGATAGAATCAGGCCTTTCTCCTTCAGGCAAGACTGTCAAGAAGTCTGAAGAGAGCAATTTCTCCAACAAAACAAAGATATTTTATACCAGGGGTCAGCAAATTACTGCCTGCAAGACAAATTTGGTCTAATCTGTTTTTGTATGGTGCAAGCTAACAATGGATTTTATGTTTAAAGGGGTGATAAAGAATATATGACTGAGACCTTATGTGGCTTGTAAAGCCTAAAATATTTGCTATCTGAACCTTTGGAGAAAAAGTTTGCTGACCTCTGTTTTATACCATTGAGATTAACAAAAGTTTTTACCTTTGTGCAGAAGGTAAAAAGCATGGTTAAGGAAAAGATGTGTTACCACTATACACTCCTATAACCGTGGCATCCGCAAAATTAAATAACCTTTAAAAAAATAAACTTTATTTAAATCAGTGTCTTCTGATTTATTCTGATTCTTTTCAGCTCCCTATGGAGATGAATTCTGTGCTTAGGAATGTGTTGAATTTTACTTTATGCTTAGCCCTAATAACTTCTACAAGTAGAACTTCCTGAAATCCATAAATTCTCTGCCTCAGTTTTCCTTTCTGTGAGGTTGGGTATTAGGAGATCAGAAAGATTACCTTGTGTTTTGGAAAGTCAGTAAATTGGCTTAGAGCTTTATGTGGCAGCAGCAATAGCCTGTGTTTACAGATAGCGTGTATTTTAATTTAGTAAATCCTTATTTTTGGTTGATTCTCACCTTGATTGGGTCTCTGGATCAGAGTTGGGTTATATCATGGACCCCTGAGGGGTATTTGTTTCAATCTGCTATAGCATCAGTTAATTCTTTCTTGTGGGATGCTATTATGTATGCATTAGTTTGGTGTTTATGACCAGTGGTGTTTGGCTGCATGGCCAGTCCTTTAGTTGTTTGCTAGCTCATATCTGCTCTTTTAAAGTGGTATGGCACAAGCCCATTTAGACCATGGCATGTTGTTTTTTGGGTTCTTTGTGTGGAGTTAAGCATAAGCTTCCATGGTTTTTGATTAGAACCCCAGGGCTGGCAATTTTTGGAACCCATTAATGTCTTTTGGCTCAATGTATGTTAAGTGTACACTTGAACTAATGTTTAAACAGAAAAAAAAAAAGATCAGCTCATTAGGCTTATTTTTTTTAGCTCATTAGGCTTTAAGTTTATTCATTTAACTCAAGTGCTAACAATCCTTTCCATCTAAAGTGTTCAATATTGCAAAAGACAAATTTTAAACAATATCACATGGTATGATTGATACTTTAAAGCCACATTTGGGATTTCAGTAATAATTCCCATTCAAATGGGAAAAACACTCATATAATTCAAGGTAGTTTTCACTCACTTTTATAAAAAGTACTTTTCCTATTTTTAAAAAATCTTTATTGTTGAAAATATTCATAGGTCCCCCCTTTTCCCTCATTGACCCCTTCTAGCTTATCCCTATCCCCTACCCCAGGCCTTTACCACCCTATTGTCTGTGTCCATGGGTTATGCATATCTGCATACAAGTTCTTTGGTTGATCTCTTCCCACCCACCTACCCTTCCTCACCTTCCCTTTGAGGTTCAACAGTCTGTTCTATGCTTCTATGCTTCTAATTTTTAAAAAATTTTGAGTATATGCCAAATTCTTTTGGATTAGAAATGATGGGAGCATCAATTTTACCAGTTTCACTACAAGTCTTGTGTGATATTAAGTTTATAAAGTTTTCATAGGTTGTAATTCAGAAATACAATACATAAGAGCCATCCATTAGCAGGTATACCATAGAAAGGGACATCCAATAATTTGAGAATTATCTACAGGGTGACATGATTAATGAAATTTCAAAGAATTTTTATGTTTGGTTTTTGTTAATGGACTAATGTTTCATTTTGACCACTATCATGTCAAAGCTTCCCCAGAATTTTTACCCTAGTTTGCCTGGATCAGCATAAAGTGGGAGCCGAAGTTTCATCTTGAAGGAGGTAAGGTTAGATTAAAAGATAATCTGAATGATATTGGTTTGTCTACCAACATTTTTAAAAAATACATTTTATTGATTTTTTACAGAGGAAGGGAGAGGGATAGAGAGTTAGAAGCATCGATGAGAGAAACATCAATCAGCTGCCTCCTGCACACCCCCTACTGGGGATGTGCCTGCAACCAAGGTACATGCCCTTGACTGGAATCGAACCTGGGACCCTTGAGTCTGCAGGCCGACACCCTTATCCACTGAGCCAAACAAGTTAGGGAGTCTACCAACATTTTTACTTATGTGTTAATTGTAATGAAATTGAAAACTTAAAACCAGTTTTTATCAGTTAAATGAAATTTGGTGTTTTTAAAAAATATATATTTTTATTGATTTCAGAGAGGAAGGGAGAGGAAAAGAGAGATAGAAACATCAATGATGAGAATCATTGATTGGCTGCCTCCTGGACGCCCCCTACTGGGGATTGAGCATGAAACCCAGACATGTACCCTTGACTGGAATCGAACCCGGGACTCTTCAGTCTGCAGTTGGATGCTCTATCCACTGAGCCAAACCAGCCAGGGCTGAAATTTGGTATTCTGACATGAGTGACTCTTTGTTATAAACTAATACAAATGTAAAAAATGAAACCAAATATTTTCAACAAAATAATTTATTTTCTTTTCCTGAGAGACTAAATTAGTACAATATTTGTTATAACATCCAACATGTCTTATGTCAAACTTAACCACCTCCTATGCAGTGACTGTGGTGGGGTGATCTATTTTATTTGACTACCTTCAATGTAATTAATTTGGTAGTTCTAAGGCATATCAGTGATCAAAATGTTTCTCCCCACAGTTACTCCTGAATTCTCTCAATCAGTTTCTTCCGCACATCATCTAAAGAAAATTTATGTGGTGTGATTACACTCTTTTTATACCAGGATTTCTAAAACTAGGAAAAACACCAACATTTAAAACATCAGTGTTTCTAGTCAAGGATAGTTCAATTAAATTTCATCAGTACATTATATCATAGTTTAACTCATGCTAGAAATGTTAAAACCCAAGATCTGAGTCACATAATATCAACATTTCATATTAATGAATAAATTACTTGGGTTCCATACGAAGATATTAAGTGATGAGAAACAGAAAAAGCCAAGCTTTCAAGAGCTCTTAAAAAATACAGAAGCAAACTAATGAACACAACTACACAAAATAGACACTAACCAATTGCAAACTAAACTAGTTAAAGGCTAACCTTAAAAAATACATTTTAAAACTTCGTGATACCCTCATAAAAGGCAGCAACTAAGGGTATTAAAACAATAGTCATTATTTTAGTTACTGTGCATCAAATCTAAAAGATCCAGATAAAGGAACTGTTTTGTTTCGATTCAATGTAAATACTTTAAAATTGGAAATATTTAATAATTGATAGTATAATTAAATTTTAAGAATATACACAAATGATTTGAACAGATTTTATATTCAGTAACTTGCATGGTTTTTACACTGGCACTTTTATCACTAATTTAGGAGAATCAGATGCATTTCCCTCCATATACTTAGGCATTAAGATTTCAAATTATAAATATGGTAGTAGTTAAAATATTAAAAATTTACATGAATATTGGGTTGATTCTTGTTTTCCTTTGTTTCCTAGGTATTATCCAGTTTTGTAAGGAAAACACTTTTAAATCACAATCAAAACTTGTCTTGGTTACTAGACTGTAGCCATAATTGGGTTACAGTCATTTAGATTCATTATTTGGAATTATACTTACTAAGGCAGACCTAAATGGAACTTATCTTCTAGAAGAATTTCACATTTGCATTTACCTGCACTGCAGAATAGGTTTAAGCAATACTTTAGCTGTTAGGAAATATTTAATTTGCTTAAACTTATCTTCGACTACTCAGAACTCTGAGTAGTCCAATGTTCCCTTTGAGTTCACTTTAAACTATATCTGATTCATTCCAAATAGATTTTTAAATTGAAGCTAGACTTCATTAAGGTATTAAACTCTAAATCTGAAAAAATGCATTGAAATTTTCAAGTTTGACAAGTTCATTACAATTGTTGAGCATGTCTTGATACATTTACTTATCAGCTTTTTATTCTTTCTGCTGGCATTTCCTTAATGTTTGTTTGCGTCACCTCTCTGATTCATTGGATTGCTACTATTTATGCTTTCATGGACTTTATCTTCACAGTTTACTGTATCTTGTAAAGCCTTTTCCACATCTGTTTGGCCAGTTGTATTGGCTGTTTTAGGCAAGGTCATCTGCAGTGCACACCACAGTGTAGTGCGTGCCTTCCGGGTAGCCACACACATCTCTTTAATTGCTGCAGCAAGGGCAAAAACATCTGTAAAAGAAACATTTAGAGTCAGTTCACATTAGCTACCTTTAAAGTTTCCCTTACCTCTTAAAGCCCAGCGCTGAGCTACTAAATGATCAAACATCATCTATATATATTTAAAAGGCTAATATGCAAAGGATCCCCTAGGGAGGTCAACCATGAGTTCGATCGCTTGCTATGACTTGCACTGACCACCAGGGGTGGTGGTGCAGAATGAAGGATGGCCCCAGCCAGCAGCTGGAAGGCCCCAATTGGCCCTGATCACCGGCCAGGCCTAGGGACCCTACCCATGCATAAATTTTATGCACTGGGCCTCTATTAATTTTTATAAAAGAAGGGTGGGTAGGTATTGACTAAATTAAAGTTCTTGACTTAATATGTACTTAAAAGTGTTGACATTTTATTCTGCCTTGTATGATGACTATGCTTTGGGTGGAACACAGACTTTGATGGAATTATAAGTGGATCAAGTTAACAAAACAGATCAAGGTACTTTTGGACTAGATTATGTGGGCACCTTTACCAATTT